GGGAATGGTCCCTTATCCCAGTGACTGGTCCGCCCTTCCAGGGCCTGCCAATGACCCAGCCTGTTGCCAGCAGTGCCCTGGAATACTGGGTCCCCGCCTGTCTCAGGAACTAGACTATCGAGACCACCGCAGAGGGTGGGCTTGATTCCAACATTCCATTGCAAAACATGTCACCTTGGACCCAGTTCATTTCATTATCTTACCTCTTCTCTTCATTCTCCCCACCCCCCGCCCCCCACCCCAGGAGGATAGCACTTCCCGTGAGCTTCCTGATGGGCAACACAGCTCAGCATAAAATGCACGAGAGCATTGCCAACATCTTCTTGCCCACAACTCAGACATGCATCCCAATCCATTGAGCAATAAGCACACCAGTTGGAAGTGTGGAGCTTAAGCAGCAGCTGCTTACCTCTCTGCAGGCCGATCAAGGTGGATTCCAAGTGCTGGATATATGAACACGTGTTCATGACTTCAAACTCCAGGTAACGCCTTCCAGCAGCAGTTGCCCCTCACCAGCTATCTGGCAGATATCTGCCTTCAGTGTAGTAGGAAGAACTTTACCGGAGAGCTTGTGATGTGTGTGATGTGCCACCTTGTGCTTGAGGTCCAAGTCCAACTGCTTAATCCATGTCCTCATGTGAGGGGCTTTGGCAAATAAAAATCAACAACTACCTCTTGTATCTTCCCATCAATACCCTCAATATCTTCTCTTGAGCCATGCAGAATCATGATTCTGCAATAGGGATGTGAAAGAAATTCATGTTTGGTAAAGCATAAATTGATGCCCCAAATTGTGATCTAATCACGTACATGTTGTTAGTAAATGTCATGGCAATCATTCTGTTGTTAACTGTGGACTCAGGTTGCATTTGTGTGAACTTTCTCTGAACTGATTTTTTTCATGTTTGGTAAATATAGATTTGCGGTGGTGCTTTACTAAAATTGAACCTAGCTTTACCAATTAAAGAAGTTCTTAGTGGTTGAAATCAGTGTCTTCTATAAAATTATTAATATCCAGAGCGAAACGAGTAAAATTGTCGTTGTGTGAAATATGTGTGTGAAATATTGTGTGAAATATCATTTTCTAAATACTATACTAGTGCCTTCAGCCATTGTGCTCCGAGGCTCTGGAACTCCCTTCCTCACTCCCTTCGTCTCGCTCCCTCCCTTCCCATTTTCAGGTCTCTGCTGAAAACCTTTCTTTTCGACCGCGCCTTTGGTCACCTTCTTCCCCCTCCCACTGGCTCGGTCCCGGGATCCGTTACTGTAAAGCACTCTGAGACGCCTTCCGGCGTGGAGGGCGCTATATAAATCCAAGTTGTTGTTGTACACTTGGTTACTGAAATTGGAATAGCCAGCAGTTGACTTGAGTCCTGTTTCAAATAATCCTAATGTTTACATTTTTGATATAATGTGGTACTGACCTATCTAAACTTCATAAAGTTTGAACAGTGAACATTTTGACGATAGTCTTTTGATTCGATGCACGTTTTCAAGTACATTTGATCGCATGCTGATTGCCTATATGCCATTATTACACGTCAGTTAGTGGATCACCCCAAAACAGTTCCTAAAGTTTGTATTTCAGATGCTTCTAAAGAAATAATCTGAACTTGTCCTAGTTCCTTTCCACTTTGAACAATACTTAATATATCAATATTGAGGCATTAATATTCCATTTATACTTATTCTCCTGCTAAAGGGAGATAATTATTTTGTAAAATTCAGGGCTATTCAGTGCCTTTGCTAAAATATTTTTAAATGTAAACATGTTGTTAGAAGGTGACTGACATTTTTTGAAGGATGCTTTGCTTTATTAAGCGAAAGTTGTGGCATTTATCTTATGTGATGCATAGCAATTATGGATTTTCATCTTTCACTAAAGTTGCAATTTGTACAAAACCAGTCTGTCTTGATCTGGAATCCCAAACCCGTATCTTCATTTTGATTTAAAAAATGTTGAATGCTTGAATCAATATTTAATGCACTAGGTGGCAGTGTCTTCCACAAATTGATCAGCAGTAAACTGCATTTAGCACAGTGGTTCTCTGTGTGTGGCCACCAACACTTATTGGTAGCTGCAGTGCTAGGTTTTCGTAAAAATACTTAATCATATGAAACATAAAGGAAATATAGACATGTGCACATCCCAAATAGTTGTCATTTATTTCTGTACATTTGACAAACCACATTTGAGAAAACACATTTTTTGCATAAAACTTTGCATAAGGAGAAACAAGATTAGAACAGCACAATAAAAAAAAACATTTTAGATGTGAACAAAAATTATACATATCAAATGGTTTTCATTTATTTCTAAACATTTTGACAAACCACATTTGGGAAAAAACACTTTTTTCACAAAAATGTGAACAGCACAGTAAAGGAAAACAATTTGAGATGTGCATAAATTATTATTATTATTATTTGGGACCAGAATTGTCGGTAGTTGGAATCAGCTTAGTGAATAAGAGCAAACGTGCGACTGCAAGTTTATTCTAAATGCAAAATACTGCAGATGCTGGAAATCTGAAATAAAAACAGAAATCACTGGAAACACTCAGCAGGTCAGGCAGCGTCTATGGTGAACGGAAAATTAGTCAACGTTTTGGGTCCACGACCCATCATCAGAACCAACGAAAGGTTCTGATAAAGGATCGTGAACCCGAAATGTTGACTCACTTTCCTTTCCATAGATGCTGCCTGACCTGCTGAGTGTTCCCAGTGACTTCTGTTTTTGTTGCACATTCTATTAATTTGCACGATTAGCATTGTATTGACACTAAAGTTGGCCAATAGCAGCTGCACATCTCACAGAGTGTGGGGGCGGAGGGAGTGGATGGGGCTACTTGTGGTCGCACATATCACACACACGCCACATATGAGAAATGCTGGTTTGGCATATTTATACCAAAGAACACCACTCAATTCTTCAGTACTTAATTGTGCAAGCAAAATGTTTTAAGAATAGACGCAGCTTTAAAAATGTAGTGAATCTGCAGAAGTTACTGCATGTATCAAAATTCAGGATTTTTTCGTTTGAGTCTAATGACAAATTGCATTTAGTTTGTGTCGATCTGATTCATATGAAAATTGTGCCTCAGGAAACTTCTAATTTGGTATGCTTCTAATTTTGTAACATCATAATATTGTTTGCATCAATGTTTGTTTGTGTGAATACTGCTTTCTGTCATTTAAAACAGGGCCATAATTTAACTCAGAATATCTAAATTGTAATCTACACAATCTTAATTTGTTGTCAGAATTTAGTTGTTTACCTACACCTTTTGGTATGAAATGTCCCACTGGGTGTTATGAGTTAAATATAGAAGATGGCTGAAATTAAACCAACACCAGTCAACCATCACAAAAAATAATTTATTTGGCAAAAAAATGATGTATTTGGATTTGAAATATTTTGAAGTGAATGTTTTAGTCACTTAATGTATGGAAGGTTGGTGTAATTTATTGTCCTGTTATGTGTAAATATTTTTGATTACTTTAGACTTGTGAATTTCTTAAGGTAGAACCTACAAAATATTGAATACTTTTGGGGATTATCTGTCCAAATGGTTTCTCCTTGAAATGCTTGTTTCAAATTGTCTAATATCTTAAGTCAGCCAATGTATTGAAAATATTTTGCTTTCTGAATGGGGGTGTGATGAAAACCTGATTTTGAAGTGCAGTTGAATGAAACTTACTCAGTTGTGCATTCAGTAATTTTGAAATTGCTCTATAGGTATGAAGAATCTTTTTTTAAAAGTTTAATTTTCAGTGGAGAATTAAATGTTGCTGAGTACAATTCAGCCACCAAAAACTTGTATTTTCTTTTAGAAAGAAGTTACTGGACCATTTTATTTATTTGTTGTGACACAATTTGATCAGTGACTATTTGAAAAATCTAAACCCATTCAAGAAACTACTGTCTACTTTCTCTGCCATTCATTTCGATTAGGGGGGCTTTATTGAAAACTCAGAAGTTGTATTAAGACTAGGTTTTTAAATATAATTGACCACATACTTCCCATATTGTGCCTATTTCTGCAATTTGTCAATGTCTGCTTGCATATAGTATTGTGATGCCTGATGATGAAGTGAAGTTCTGAGCAGTTACAACTCTATGTGAAGTTTTGTTTTGGTAGTTTTATTATTTAGCATGAGAATTGTTTTATTACCATATGTTCTACTTTTTTATGCTCAGAACTTTTAAAACCAACTGTTTTTGTGTTGCAGTCGTAGTCAATCACGTAACAAATTTGATTGCATGGGTTTCACTAAACCAGCATTTTAAAAGCCTTTCAAGTTTGTTACCTTTTCAGTTCTGTGAGCACGGCAAGCAGATGTTATTTAAAATTGTTTTGCCACTTTTAAGCTGCCTTGCCACAAAATAAAGCAATAAAAAAATTGATGCAACCATTTAGAATGGGGCAGACTACACTAATTGACTGATGGCTAAACTGCTTTTTGTGTTGCTTTATGCATTCACATGCTGTCATTGTGGAGGTTACTATCGTCAAACTGTGCACATTCACAGTCCCGTCAGTGGCAGATGAATCATGAAATGGAAGATAGTTTGTAAAACAAATTTCTGCAGGATTTTATTGGGTAAGAATCGTTTTCTTAAATAGTGATATTAGTGTGAATCCCTTTATATTGAAAGCAGTAAGTCCTTTTAGTAGTGACTGTACCCATTTAATCGTATTCCAGATGTGATTTGGGGGTGAACTGTATATGCAGGTGACTAGATAAAGTCGAAGTCTCATGGTTCTGACTTGCTTTAGTACATGGACAAGACATAACAATAAGCAATAGCGAACAATATGATTTCGGGGTATATATTCTGAGGCTCAACAGTTAACATTATTTCCTGCAAGTCCAGAGAAGTTCTTCAGGTGCGGTCTGGTAGTCAGCTCCTGGGAATTATCTCTTAAATTCTATTGACGGAAACACTACACACGATTTTTGTTCAATTTTAATAAATCTATTTGTTCTTTCTACAGGAGTCGGAAACTCCAGATCAGGAATATCCCTCCTCACTTACAATGGGAGGTAAGCAAATCTGTATTCTTTATACATTTCCTCTTTTCCTTCTTTAGAGAGTATTAAGAGGAAATGTTAAACCAAGTTGAATCTTCATGGTCAGATTTCCTTTCCCCATGATTTTTAATAACTTGATTATTTCAGTGTCATTAATTCCTCTCATTTACAAAAAGTTCTACATGTCTCTTCTTCATATTATCAACATATTATGTAAAGTGTTGGCTGTGTTTGGACTGATAAAATGCTGATTTCTAAACTTGATTGAATTGGATATTATTGGAAGTAACTTGTTACGTAAATGTTTAGTACTTTACCCCTGTGCCCAATACAATAAAATATCTGTAACTTTTGCTTGGAAGAAAGAGCAGAATTATTTAGTTGATATTCTTTCGCTCCTGGTGCCTAGACTGGTGGAAGCATAATCTTGTAAAGATTTTGAGTGACTTGTCTCAATCCAATTGCTGAGAGAGTCTGCAGCCGAATACTTTCTATAATTGTGAATCTTACACATCAAGTGAAGGTGTTGTGGAGAATAGACAAGTCAGAAGAAAAAACAGGCAGACTGAGGTTGGAATATTTGTTATATGCAGAGAACACAGGATAATGTATTGGAATTTAGGCATGAAATTTGTTACTTCCATCTCATGAGGACAGCAATGTTGTCCACGTCAGAAGGTCGGATTTCTTGGCAGTGAAGTTTGAACAAACACAATATAATCTGTGTATAGAAAGATTGAATGCTTATAGACAAAGTACTTGAACTGAAGGATGTGCACCCATGACTGTTCAAGGAGATGGGGAATTAAACGGGAGAGGTTTTAACAATTTTTTTTTGTAAGTTTTCCGTATTTTAGCAAATGTTTGTAAGAATTACAATTGAGCAATTAACATCTTTTTTTAATAAAGGATTGAGACCAAATTGCAATGCACAGTTTTGTAGGTTAAAAACATTGGAAACTGTTCAAGTGAGGAAGAATGATGCATTCCAGTTTGGGGGGGAAAAAAAAACTCCTTGGAAACTGAGCCAGTAGATGCAGTTTACTCTTTCGGAACAGCTACAACTTAGATATAAGAATTATAATCCTTAGATTTGGTATGGTGATTTTTACTTCGGTAGGACATCTAAAGTACTTCACGGGATATACTGTAAAGTGTGGCGACTGTGTGCTTTCTGGGCAAAAGGGGCAGCCAAATTGTGTACTGCAATGTCCCACAAACAGCCATGAAGTGAATGACCAATTTTATTTGGGGATTTACTGGCCAGTACACTGGGAAAAATCCCTTCCCTTTTCGAATAATGCCATGGGATCTTTAACACCCACCCGAACATGCAAACTGATCAATGTCTCATCTGAAAGACAGCACCTGCATCAATGCAGTTACACACCCAGCACTGCCTCCAAACAGCCTTCTCTCTTTAATGAAGAGATTGTTTGACCACAAAATATACACAGCAAAGCACTTAAAGTATTCTGGGAAGTGCTTTCACACGTTTCATTGATATGATAAAGCTCTATATCAAATGCAAAAAGTATTATTGATGTACACTTGGAACAAGCAGACGAGACATTCTTTAATATCTCATTCGACGAAAGGCACTTCTGATAATGCAGTGCTCCACCAGCACTGAGTGGGAGTGGCAAGTCTAGACTATAAACTCAAAATCCTGGTTTGGAGTTTGAACACACAACCTTCTGATTTCAGAGGGATTGCTACCAACTGAGCCACTCAAGTGTCGCACAATTTTTCCAGCCAAGGTGTGTCCACCAGGTGGTGTACAAAACTAGCTATAAAACCAACTACAGTCACTGTTTTCTTTCTCAGTTATCTTTTACAAGCTGATCTTTACCAATGCTGCCTTAATGCATCTGTTTGGAGCACAAAAGCAACCATGAATGCCTGGTCCACTTGCTCTTCACCCAGAAAAGAAATTGTTAGTCGTTTGGGTGGAAAATATGAGTGTTCATTTTTAGGCTAGTAATTTACCTTGCAAACGACATATAAATTTGATCCTTAGTTTTACTATATTTTTTGAATCCTACATTAGCTATAAGAATTGACAACTTCACATTACTATTTCTCCACTAAATTTCTTTCCTCTCTTTCTGAAGGCTTGTTGACTCTTTCCTTCTGAGGTAGTGGCACAACTTGCCCAAGTTGTGCAACTGTACATGTGCTAGTCTTGACGATGAAATCCAGATGCTGTTTGACCACAGAACTCCCAGGGAAAAACCTAATCCTAATATTATTTAAAAGAATGCATGCTTGTGCTGGAAGCAAATATCCTGGGTGTTCTTTTTCTCTTAAGCACCTGCCCAACCAGGACACTGTGTCAGTGTACAAGCTGATTCTGAACCTACCCATCCAATTTTGCTTTCATACTAATTGGACAAAGTTACAAAAGAATATACATTTATATAGCACCTTTCACATTGGGAGGAGATCTCAAAGCTCTTCACAAGTACTGGACGGGGATGTGAGCTGGCCGCTGGAGGTGGGGAGGAGAAAGGTGACCAAAAGCACAGTCTAAGCGATATGTTTTGAGACGTGCCTTGAAAGAGAGTTGCGAGAAAATGAGTCGCAGGGACTCCGGCAAGAAATTCCGGAGAACTTGCTTGGTTTTTTGGTCGCTTTGACAAACTTTTTGTCTTTGTTCTCTTTGTTTGCTGTTTGGTGGTTCCTGATATTGAGCCTTTTAAACCCTTCATTGTAGGGAAATTAGGGTACACAAGCCAATGTTAGCCTAGGAGTACTGACTTAGTTTTTTTTGCATAATAAAAAAGTAAATTAAACTGAATGTTTATTTCAGATCAATTTAGGGTTCAGAATTCAGTTTGATTCTTTCCTGCAGGAAGTTTTGGAAATGTTTCTTTTGTCTTTGTCAGGTGATGTCAGAAAACATGAGTTTGCTCCACTTTATTGGAGAAAATGTGTAGCCGATGCAGTAGATTAGCAAAGCAGGATGTGAGTTCATCTCTGATTCCTAGACGTGAAGTTGCCCTTCTCAACAACCATTAACGTGTTTGAATTAAGGTATTGTGGGTGTAGTACATTTTAGACTAGCTGTTCATTTTTATTTAATATCCACTGCAGATGGGCCAAGTAAATGTCACGTGCGCTTTTGCTCCCTGTCTCTTCTGTTTCCTTTTGTTCTCTTCCACCCCCCCCCCCCCCCCACCCCACCATCCCCGGAAGCTAAATTCTTCCTGAACTGCAATTGAACACGTCCCAGCAACAGTTCACAGTGATACGTTGTGATCTGTTATGGGTCAAAAAGATGTTTGGTGTACTTAATGAACGACTGCGTGGTGGAAGAACCTGGAATCTGAACACTAAAGGCAATCCGAAGCATAATGGAGCGGGTCTAACAAATTTGAACAGTTCTGTTCATTTGAGGCCTTCAAATTGTACTTTTTCTACATCCAAACATAGATAATCTGCATTGGAGGCTACAAGTAGGATAATTTAAACATATGCTTGGCATTTTTAAGTTCAACTTTCAGAAGGAAGAAGTGGACAAGTGTGCATGTACTTAAATAGGGTAGAATCTGAGAGGTCCTGAAGTGCTAGTACCGCAAGAGCAGGAGTGGAGCGACAGAGTTGGCACAGTGCCTCTGACATGTGTGCAGTAGCTGGATTACCTTTGATTACACTCCCAATGAGGCTTGTTTGAAACAGCAAAAGGCTGTGTCAGACTTGAAGTTGCCAAGATTCAGTCTTGTAGATTTAATATATGGCCCGTTAAATTATTTCTTCATTGTTAATAATGGGATACTGAAAATGCTTTTCATTCAACTCAGCAAACATAGCCTCCTCATCTGCTTGAAAAGCAAATATCGCTGCTTCAAATAGCAAAAAAAAGTTGTTTTAATTTTAACTTGCTTATTTTCTGAAAACGTGTCAACATTTTAAAGATCTCAGCTTGGCTCAGTTGATAACATGGTTGTGGGTTTATGACCTACATTGAGGCTTTGAATTCATAGTCTAGGCTCACGGTCCAATATGGGAGTGCTGCATTGTCAGAAGTGCCATTTTTCAAATGAAATATTAAACTGAAGTCTCGTCTGCCTGGCATAGTTGGTAGCATTCCCGCCTTGGAGTTGAAAGGTATTCATTCAAAGCCTCCTTTGGAATTTTGAGCTTACAGTTCAGACTGACACTCCAGTGCAATATTGAGAGAAGCACTGTATCGTCTGAGGCATAGATAAGGCATTATACCAATGTCCCATCCGCCAGTTCGGGTTGAAGCACCTGAGCTGAAGATGGAAGCCGAGGGGTTTGGGGAATGGAATGATAATCAAAAGTGCAATCAAAGATGTATCTTTTAAGTTATGTCTTGAAAGAGGGTAAGGGGGGAGAGAGTTGGAGGGACTCTGGAATAGAGTTACAGAAGCAGGGGCAGAATGGCTGAAAGCCCATCTAGTGAATGTCAGGCAGATCGTTAGGTGGAGAGAGCAGGGGACATGAACCCGGCTGGTGTTCATGGAGTGAAGGAAGCAGTCGGAACTATGCTTAAACTGAACTGAAACTTCCAAAATGGGGCTTGAACGCAAAGCCTTCTGACCCAGAGTTGAGCGTGTTACCAACTGAGCCAGGATGACATCCATGTTATAACTGCCGTAAAAAAAACTGGGTGCCGGCCTGGCTTCCAGATTATTAGGTTATTTCAGCCAATGCTTCAAATGCAACCTGCCCAGCTTTGCTGGCAGCTGTGACTGGTCTTGCGAATGTTTGAGCCACGCAATGCTGGGAGCCAAAAGTATACGGCACTTCAATAATGACCTATCCACAGGAGACCTAGGTTATAAATGGACTCAGAACTAGAGTGAGGGCTTTATAACATGTACCCCTGCATAGGGGGGTGTATCTTCATTGAACAAGACAATTGCTGTATGTTTTGAACTTATTTTCCAGGGAAAGTCCTGTAAAAGTAGATTTTCAGAAGCACATGTTCCGTAATGATGCAATTGCTGAACAATGCAGTGCTGCTGTATTGAACAAATGTCCAT